GTGTTTGAATATGTAAAACCGGTAAAGAATTCCCTAAACTATACCTATTATAGTTTGACCGGTATGTTATGTTCATGTATTATTCTGAAAACTATGCAATTTTGTTTAAAAAGTATCCCTTATGCTCTGAATATTACAAAAGGGATAAATCATCTAAAAGTTTGATGTAAAACCGTTGTAATTGCATCATTTTTTTACTTGTGAAAACCTTTATGTTTGATTTGTATCCCCCCTGAAAATGTTATAAAAACTTATTAAAGCGTAGGGGTATGAACTCACAGTTTGTTGGTCACAAAGGATTGAATCAGAAGATCCTCGAGTTGACGAACGTGGCACTTAACGAAATCCTAATATCAATAAATACATATACGTATCTAAATTAACGATTTTGTTAGATAAAGTATTAGATCCATACTTGGTTTCGGTTAAGGAATGTTATCGAGACTTGGTGCTCTAGAGGCTCCCAAATGGCCCCAAATGATGATTTCCAACATTTTTCGAGTGAAAGAAGGGACTTTTGGTGTTTACGGTCATGAGGTTTAGAGAGAGAAAGTGGATGTTTTCGGCCAAGAAAGTTCAAATGAGGGTGGGGGTCCTGTATTTATAGGCCAGGGGGTGGTGGGGTCCACCTGGCACCGACCGTAAACGGGTTTACGGCCGTAAACTCGTGTTGGCTGTGAACTCGTTTGTTTTTCGAGAAATCATGAGTTTTTTTTACGTACTTTTGGTTTTCCGACTCGTATAGAATTATAACTATAACCTTAGTAGATTTTCTAACGCAAGAAGTTGCCTGAAAAATAATAAAAATTAAATTTTATTAACGGAGGTGGGTTAAAATAACGGGAGAAAATTCGGGTTGTCACACGTGATGAGTCGCTACCCGCATATATTTGCTGATGTGTGATTCTAGGGATGGAATCATCCTAAGAGGGAGAGAATTGTAACGCCCGTATTTCTAGGCTAAAGCATTAATGATGGTGTAATAGTCTAGATCAACTTTTGTAACTAATTTTGAAGTAATAAAGAGGAATTATGTGAATATTATGTGAATTATGTGCTTATTTGCTTAATTATTATGATTAATAAATTAAGGATAAAAATAAGCGTCAAAAATAAATATTAAATAAAGCGGATATCTAAGGATAAAGTTGTAGTGGTTGAAACAAGGATTTCAGAGATATAAAGAATATCGAAATCCGAGTTATAACGAAGAAATTATTACACGTCGAAGTTTCGCGACAAAACCGACATGACGTTGTGTGATGTAAAGAGTGAATTTATGTTAAAGTGTTTTTTAGCCTTAGCAATCTAAATGAAAGTCGTAATATTCGTTAAACCGAGAGCATACATAAAAAGAATGCCCAAATCTGACTTCGTATGAGAAAGTTATGATTTTTCTAAGTTTCAGCTTAGCAGTAGACAGCTAAAAACTTGAGTATTTATAGCCGATATAACCTAAACGGGAATCGAAGGTCTCGTCAATAGTAGTACAACGGTAAAAAGACAGACGAAAACGGACATCGGATGAAGAAGTTATGAATTTTTAATGGATTTTCTTGTCCCGGTCTGCTAAAAATAATAATATTAAAAATAAAATTAAAGTTAGCCGACGAAGTCTAAACAAAAGTTGTAGAGCATAATTTCACCTACGCGTGCATATAAAAAACGTCAAAAACAGAGCTCCTATGCGAAAGTTATGGATTTTAGAAGTTTGGGGCACAATATTTGAGAAAAATCCCAAATCAGAGAAATTTTGCATGGTAAGACTTCGGCCACGTTGCCTCGCTTCGCTGCTGCCGCGTGTCCGAATCATGTCGCAACCCTCTCACACCGAAGCCGCAACCCAACCAACATCCGACGCCTATGACCGCCTGTGAACTGAGCCACCTGCCCTTCTGCGAACCGAGCCACCTGCCCCTCTCGCATTCTCGCCTCGCACCGCCATCTCCCCCCCCCCTCAAGTGCGATCCACGTGCTCTTTCCTTCTCCCCCTCGGTCCGAAGCCTCCCTTATATAAAGGGAGGTGCGAGATCTCCTGGTTTTGGTTGGAACTTCTCACATTTTTCACTCCTAAAACCTCTTTTAATCTACTTAGCATACGTTCCAAAGTGCCCGTGAAAGTTATCTTTTCGGTTTGAAGCTCAACCTTCGCAAGGCCTGGTTTCTCATTAAAGCTCCCGATTTCATCAGAAGCGATCATTTTAAGAAACGAAGTGCTGCCCCATTGTCATTAAATCAAGTGGGTGTATAGTCACTTTCATCTTACACATATATATGAAGTAATTTCTATAAAATACGTGCTACGTGTAATTATATTGTTTTGTCTATTTGAGATGAATGTTGAATGAATGTTTTACACAAGTTTTAAAATGTATATGTATTTTTATCTACAAAATTATTGGGTAAAACTTGGGTAGATAGTTGATGTGTGATGAAATTAAATGATGAGAGGCCTCGATGTTATTGTGATCTAGTCATCTAGTGGAATATGGATGACGACCACAAACTTTTCTTGATAGTCCTGTGGAACGCTGACAGGCTTGCAACCTGTAGGTGTTAATGAGCTTGGGTGTTCATTTGCTGTACTCCATCCCCTACATAGTTGGCTTATTTGACATAAATTGTTGGGAAACCCCCAAAGCAGTGTTGTCGTCCCGATGAAAATCCTTTGGCTAGGTCCCTTGTGATAGTTGTTTTAGGGACGTAAAATGAGGATAACGAGAATGAGTAATCAGGTTATTGTTATTTGATGAAATTAATAAATTTATTTATTGTGGGTTGAAAACCTATATGCTCATCAGACTCCCAAGCCTGACCCACTCAGCTTTATGTATTACAGGTAGTGGACCTAGAGCATAATTGGACGGTGAATAGAGATTTTTGGATTATAGGCCAGTAGTTGTAAATAACTTTTGTAAGGCTTATAAAGTACTGTTTATGCTTTTGGTCTGTATCGGAACATGACATCCCGAGGTTTTGATATATAATGAAAATATGTATTTCTTTAAGAAATGTTTTGATAAAATTTTATCATGTTTTGTTTTGGAGACAAATTCCGCAACATCTTTTAAAAGATTACTCTGATTTTATTTTAAAAGTATAAATTAAATCGGTCTTTTCTGACTGAACAATTAGAGATGTCACAACTTCCTGGAAAAAAATAGAAAACATACCAGATTTACTAGGGATGAGCATAGGCGGATACCCGCCTCATTTGGCGAGAACCGGAACCGAAAACGGAATCGGCGGTTCCTAGAAAGTTAGAACTGGTACCGAAACCGCTTTAGACAATTCTTAAATTTTTGGAACCAGTCTTGGAACCGGCGGTTCTGGTTCTAGGAGCGGGTAACCCGGTTACATTAACTTTGTTAACATTATCGATAAAACCGCAACTTAGTTCGATCCAAATCGAATCAATTCGGATCAAAGAGGGATAGAATCGGACCAATATATTCTAAACCGGTCTTAGTAACACACACACACAAATATATATATATATATATATATATATATATATATCAGTTTCGGCGGGTACCCAGCGGGTAGCGGTTCCAAAAAAATGAGAATTAGAACCGGAACCGCTTAAGGCAGTTCCAGTTTCAGAACCGGCAGTTTCGAGGCAGTTCCGGTTTCAAAAGCGGGTACCCGGTTCCGATGCTCATCCCTAATATTTAGCAAATAGAAATAAATAGGGGACTATATTTGCCAACCCTTAAGAACTTTGTTGTTTGTAAGAAGAGACATCTTTTATATATATATATATATATATATATATATATATATATATATATATATATATATATATATATATATATATATAATTTTAACAATTTGAAAAGTTTGAATTTATAAGAAAAATGAGAAAAAATTTTGAATTATTAAAATTAATGAGGCTTTAATGTTTATAAACCATTTTTTATAAATACCTTAGATATTAACTATGAAATTTTAATTTAATAAAATGAAAAATACAATAAAATGACAAGTAAAAAATAGAAAATTCAAAATTTTTAGAAAATACCATTTGTCCAAATGAAAGAACAAATGACATGTGATAAAATGTTTTTTTATTTATCAGGGATGATATATATATATATATATATATATATATATATATATATATATATATATATATATATATATATATATATATATATATATATATATATAGGTTCTATGGAAAACAAAAAACCCTAAAAATCATTAAAATGCATAAATAAAATACTTAGAGATAACAAAACTTTTTTTGAATTTTTTTATCAAAAAATCGCAACTTTTAGGTCAAAATCGCTGAAAAAACATTTTTGAAATGTTTTTTTTACAAAAAAAAATATTTTTTTTTTCAGCGAAATTGTAGAAAATGCTGCGATTTTTTGATAAAAAAACTTTTAAAAAAAAGTTTTGCGATGTCTTGGTATTTTTTTTTATGGATTTTTATGATTTTTAGGAGTTTTTTGTTTTCCAAATAACCTTTTCATATATATATATATATATATATATATATATATATATATATATATATATATATATATATATATATATATATATATAATTTCTCTTATTATAAATATAAGTATATAATTACCTAATGTTAATATGTTTTGGGTTCGTTAAAAAAACACATTATTTTTCATATAGATATCCTATTTGAATTTGTGTTATTTTTAGAAAATAAATTATAAATAATTTATTATAGATTGAATTTTAATAACAATATGTATAGAATATTTAAAGAGGGTAGTAATAGCAGTTTTTCCACATAATCCACATAATTTAATAGACACAGAAAACTAAAATTTTCTTTACCTCTGTTACTCCATTAAGTGATGTCAGCTTCATCATTTCCAACCTGCCACAACCAATGATAAATGACACAATCAATCAATTAAGAAATATTATAATTACAATAATGACATCTTTCATTTTTATTTTTGTATATACACTATATAACAATATAACATAATTAATTCATAAACTACACTTACACACTAACAATTATTGAGATACATCGGCACATTAATAGAAAAACCATCATGATGAGACATAGTATTTAAGATTTGGTGATCGAATTTAAAGAAATGCATTGAAGCATGATTAATTGAAATTAAATGTATGCTTTTATAAGAGTTCAAGTGTAAGGTAATCTTTGTCCATCTCAATGATTTTATGAGAAAAGAAATATCGATCAAGTCTGCATCATACACTTCACATTACATTACCCTCATCATCTCTCTTTCTCTCCTTTTCTCTTTCTTCAGATTCCTTTCCTTTTTCTCTCTCCTGTTCTACCAAGCCCTTCCTCCATCCCACACATCGACAGTGCAACACCATCAATCAAATTCATTGGGAGAAAAGTCCAACAAGAATTTTGTTTTGATTCTCTCTGTTTCCGACTATGCATCTTCACAAAAACTTGATTCAATTCTTAATAATTACTGAGATTTAGTGGTCGGTTGGCTTCAATAGACTCGATATCTTGCTTTTAATTTTTTTAAAGAATCTTTTTATTCTGATTCTGAAAGTTGGGCTCTTTTTTAGTTTCTTTTATTTCTTTGGTTTCCTTTTTATCCATTAAATGGGGAACATAAATGGTAGAGAAGACGGTGGTGGTGCCGGTGGTGATGGTGGTAGCACCTCCTCAATTGGTAACGACGTCGCGGCTCAGGACGCTAACTATATTGCTCGTACTGGTGATGATGGTGAGTTCATGGGTCACTCTCCTCCTCCAAGCCCTAGGGTTTCTGGCTCTCCATTGATGTTCACTCCTCAGGTTAAGTTTCGATTTTTAATTTCTGATTTTAGGGTTTTCGCAATTATTCACTACCCTTTTTCTTGATGATAAATACCCATTACTCTGATTTGGTTCTAAATAACAGTGATGATTCCAATAATACAGTAGATTCATATACTGCAATTTTTTTGATGGGTTGCTTTATAATGCAGCTAATATCGTAGATCTGGGAAATCTCTGTGGGTATTTCGTGGTGATTCATATTTAATTCCTTCTTGTTTTTTTTATTCGTCCTATCGTTATATCTATCTATCACTTTGGCGTTTGTTTGTGGCTGGAGATCGCTTCCTCAATCTTTCAACTTGCTTGTTACATTTTTGGTGTTTCAAGAAAATTTTGGGAGAAAAATTCAACTGCGATCGATTGATATTTGTCTAATTACTAGTGTGTGAGATTTCGGCTTCTAATTGCTGCTTATGAACTTTCTGATTCTTGATTTGCTGTTTCAAAGCATTGAAGCTCTTTCAACAGAAATTTTTGACAAGACAACACATCATATAACATGAAATCCTGCTTGCTTAAGTTTGATCACTTGGTTTTTATCCATATTCAATTAAAAGGAAATCCAGTTTTACCCTTATATATATATATATATATATATATATATATATATATATATATATATATATATATATATATATATATATTTGATACTGAGATGTAAACTTTTGAATAATAATATTCTGAAAAATGTTCAAAGATGCTAATGTATTGAAACCCATCTTTAGAAATCAGTTATCTCTTCCTAGTTTTGAAGCGATCTTATACTTCCTTGAAACAAAGGGATCATTTTCCCTTTTTCTGTTTTTCACATTTCTAAAAATTGAGACAAAATTCTCCTTTCCTTATCCATATCTGACTTTTGATAAACTAAAAATCCCTATTTTTGGAACTTCTTTTGCGTGTGAATTTCGATTTGCTCTTGCTCACGTCAACACCGACAATCATAAAGAATCACAACCTCCCTAGTTCTAATTCCCCAAAATCTCTATATATAACTGCATAGTTTATGCAAAAGATACAAAGGGATTATATTATAAAGTGGGAATTATATCTTATACGTGATCTTATCATCTTATGTGTTTTCACTTTTCAGGTACCTGTGGCTCCATTACAAAGACCTGATGAGATGCAGCCAAACAATTCATGGATGCACACCTCTTCCAGCTATGAAGACATGATGAGTGAGCAAGGAATTCCAACAATGATTACATGGAGTTATGATGGCAAAGAAGTTGCTGTAGAAGGCTCATGGGACAATTGGAAAACAAGGTAAATTACAACATCATCTTTTGTTTCTTTATCATTCTTCTTCATTATGAAAGGATATAAATATAATTAGGACAAGTTGACGCTGTGATTTTGAACAGGAAGGCATTGCAGAGATCAGGGAAAGATTTTATTATATTAAAAGTTCTCCCTTCAGGTGTTTATCAGTACAGATTTGTTGTTGATGGACAATGGAGGTATTCCCCTGATGTCCCATGGACACAGGATGAAGCAGGAAACACTTATAACATCTTGGATTTGCAGGTTTGTATTTTCCATCTCTGAAATCACTTTCCAATATTACACTTTCCCCCCTTCTAGATTGAACGTGTAACAATTCTGATTTATCTTCCTTTATAACTGATACTTTTGCGTTCTCATTAAATGTCATCTAAGTAATGTATAAGTAGACCTAGAACCTCTGATTTTGATACCATTTTGGTGAATCTGTGATGCATTTGGACTTTGTCCTGATCTGATGAGTCAAAAATATAAAAGTTGTTAGTGTACAACTTCCAAATTCATGTAATGTCTTATTCATTATTTAAAAGCATACAAGTTTGGAACTTTGTAGTGGTCCCTGATTAGATAAATCATGTCACATGGTGGCTTTTAATATTAGTACTTGATTTTGGGGTAAAAATTGCAAATTCTTGTCCCACCCAATATGATAAAAATAGTACTCAATCTTGATTCTCATATGTGCAAAAGACACGGATGCACTCCTCTTTTTCATCTTCATCCAAAATAGCCCTAAAAAGACTATCCAAATCAAATAAAAAATACAACCTGTTTTGTCATGTTCTGAATAACAAAAGACCAAAATTTTGTACCATTGACAAAAGTCCTAATCACAAACACAGTACAACCTGTTCTGTCATGTTCTGCATAACAAAAAAGCAAGTCTGTGTACCATTAGACATGAGTCCCAAACGCAGTACAACCTGTTCTGTCCTGTCGTGTCATGTTCAACATAACAAAAGAGCAAATTTTAGTATAATTAAACAAGAGTCCCAAACGCAGTACAACCTGTTCTGTCCTGTCGTGTCATGTTCAACATAAGAGAAGAGCCTTGGTTTATGATTGGATTTGATTTCTTGTTTCTTGAATTTGTTAATAGGAATACGTGCCGGAAGACATTCAAAGCATATCTGGTTTTGATCCACCTCAATCCCCGGATTCAAGCTACAACAATTTACAACTTGGGTGTGAAGACTATGCGAAAGAGCCACCATTAGTTCCACCACATCTCCAAATGACACTACTGAATGCACCTTCACCCCACATGGAAATCCCACCACCTTCATCACGACCTCAACATGTTGTCATAAACCATCTTTACATGCAGAAAGGGAGGAGCAGTGACTCGGTTGTGGCCCTTGGATCCACTCATCGCTTCCTATCCAAATATGTCACAGTTGTACTCTACAAATCCATACACCAATGACCAAACCCTTTATGCAATTTCAATTTGGTGTAATCCGTTTTCATGCCAATGATCTTGTGTTTTTTTTTTTGGGTTTTTAATCCTTGAGAGAGGATTTGTGGATGTTGTTGATGAGTTGAGTTGTGGGTTTTATGACAATGTAAGCGATTAGATGTTTGAGGTTTATGGTCAATGAATTCAAAGATGTTGATATTGTTGAGTAATCTCTTGGATTCTATTTATTGTTGCCCCAATCTCTTGTTTCAATAGATCTTATGTTATTTTATACAACTTATGTGTCGGATGTCCATTTTTGGATTCATACATCCAGTTGGGAATGATTAAGAAGTGGAATAAACAATGTGAAGAAATGAACAAGGTGAAGGAATGGATCATTATATTATATTATGTTCTTATTGTTATTGTTATGTTGACTAAGAAGAGGAATAAACAATGTAAAGAAATGAACAAGGTGAAGGAATGGATCATTATATTATGTTCTTATTGTTATTGTTATGTTGACTAAGAAGAGGAATAAACAACGTTAGGAAATAGATCTGTGTATTACACGAGTTTATTAAAAATAAAATTTTAATATCAATATATAAATATGAAATATTTTATAATGTAATACTTTACATAACAAAATATAATCTTTTGAAAATTTGCAAAAGAAATTAAATCTTTTGAAGTATTTATAAGAATTTATTATCAAATTAATAGGATGATTTTATTTCCTTATAGAACTTATTATAATTTTATGGAATTTTATTTTAAGAAAATGAAAATCCCTAAAAAATAACAAGTGGAAAATAAATTTTTTCTAAAATTCTTACAAAATAACAAGTATCAAAATGAATGAGAAGATGACATGTACCAAAAAAAATTTCATTTATTAAAGAGGAAGAGGATTATTGCTATTGTTATGTTGGCTTAAAAGAAGGAATGAATCATTATATCTTGTTGTTATTGTTATTGTTATGTTGGTTTAAAAGAATAAATTGAATCGTTAAAAATATTGTTTTTATTGTTAAGTATAAAAGTAAAAGTAAATACTAAATAGAGTAAAGTTGATAAATAAAATGAAATTATTTTATAATAGTAAACTTTAACTAAATAAAAATATGCCTTGTTATGTTGGCTTAAAAGAATAAAGTGAGTCATTAAAATATTGTTTTTATTGTAAAGTATAAAAGTAAAAGTAAATACTAAATAGAGTAAAACTGATAATAAATAAAAATATGTCGGTAAATATGTTGTAAATATGATGCATTAAAAACATTGTTTTATTGTTTAGTATAAAAGTAAATAGAGTAAAATTGACAAATAAAATAAAATTATTTTTGAGAAATTAAGTATATTTTTACTTTTCGTTCCTACAAATTTTTCTACCCAATTAAATAGCGACAAGTTTAACATTCAACACTCATTTAAAAATATTTTAATATACTAATATGATACATGTCATTATTTAATTGGATAAGAATATTTATAGAAACAAAAATAAAAAGATATTTAATTTCTTATTATTTTATAATAATACACTTTAACTAAATAAAGATACGTCGGTAAATATGTTGTATATAAACATATTTATTTGGTTGAAAAATACATGTTATATATATTATAAATAATAAAAAAAATATTATCTACTATATAAAAAATAATATTATAAAAAACTAGATACAATAAAACTTTAAAATAGTTACGATAAAAAAATTAATTTTTATTTGTTTTTAAAATGTAAAAAAACATTTAATTGAAAATTTGAAAAATTTGAAAATATTGATACTATTTTTGAAGATTAATGAATAAAAATAATTTATATGTATAAATATATATGATTAAGGAATGAAAAAAAAAACGCCATCCTTTACATAGGAGAAGGAATTATGTTCTATAAAAAATGTTACGGCAAAAAAAAGAAAAGATTTATATTATTCCTCAGTAATTCTTGATTCCATTTATTTTATAGTTAATGACCAAATACTACCGAAAAAGGGCTAAAACAATATACTTTTATTTAACTGTTTCTTATATGATTTTCTTTTTCTATAACAATATTTTACCCTTAAAATTCTTTACGCGACTACTTATTCTGAAAAATATATCAGTAGTTAGTCCAAGTTTCTAAATGATGTGATGGGTGACTTAGACGGCAAGTTCATGCCAAAACCATCACGAACCATCCGATTTTTAAAGCGTGACAAATTTTATATACATTAAAAAGATTATGATATATAATTATATCTAATATATCAAATTTTAGAAGTGTTATATTATTATTTAATATAAAAAAATTTACAAAAACTCAATTATTTTAGGTCCGATCGGAAAAAACAAAAAATCTTGCGCTTTGAAAAAAATTCATACCATACTGTGATAAGACGTGCATTGACACGTTATTTGGACGTTATGCTTAATAAACTCATCTTGGATGTTTTCGTAACAACTATACCACGTTTCGCGTCGTGACACACATTTTAGAACCAATGTTTACTTTTATTAAAGTCTTTAAGATATTTTATTTTTAAAACTCTGCTATTAAAAATTATTTTTTATTTCGATTATATTGCTATTATCGGATAAAAAAATTAGATAAAATTTCACAAATGATTATAATGTTTTCTGTTTTTCCCTTAAAATAATCCTTATGAAACCTTTTTTGCATGGATGATCCTTACGGAACAAACATTGCACACAAATGGTTCTTATGACTAACTTTGTTAATAGATTCTCTTAATTGTTTGTGAAATGATGAAATATCATTTGTTCTTTGCACACAAATGGTCCTTATGACTTCTCTCTCTCTCTCTCTCTCTCTTTCTCTCTCTCTCTCTCTCTCTCTCTCTCTCTCTCTCTCTCTCTCTCCCTCCCTCCCTCTCTCTGAAAAAATAAACCCACACCCATACCCACTTCCTCCACTGTGACATCCATATTTTCATGGCCAGAAAACACCGATTTTGTTTATGCTTTATAAAAATCAGAGTACCTCTTTTAATAAAAATGTTGCGGAATTTATTCCCATTAAAACATGATAAATACGTTATCAAGACATTTTCGAAGAAAAGTATTTTTATTCATTTTAAAACGTTTTGGATGTCATCGTCAATACAGAAACATAAGCATAAACAGAACTTACAATCATTATCACTAATGATTTATATCTCCTTAATCTCTCAGTGTAATGTGACTTCATATCAACACCTGTGATATAAATAAACTGAGTGGGTCAGGTTGGAAAATCTGGTGAGTACATAGGGTTTTCAACCCATAATAATATAATTATTATGTTTAATCTTCAAAAAATTAATCAACCCAATTACTCATCCCCATTATCTTATTTACTCTTAAAGATCTACCCTAAAAATCAATTATTCCTCGTTCATTTATTCCTAAGGAATTGGCACGAAGTCCATCGTTACCAAGGTTTATAGATTATAATTGGTGAACACGTAGTCCAAAACATCTGGTGAACACTTAGTTCAAAAATATCTAGTGAACACACTCAGTTCAAAAATAGCTAGTGAACACAATTAGTTCAAAAATATCTAGTGAACACACCCAGTTCAAAAATACACAGTGAACACACTCAGTTCAAAAATACCTAGCGAACACACTCAGTTCAAAAATACCTAATGAGCACCTAATTCAAAAACACATAGAGTTACGAGCCTGCTAACGTTCCATTGGACTGTCTAATATAGTCCGTGGTCGTCATCTATACTCCACTGGATGATTGGATCACTATCAACATTGATGTCTTTCATCGTGTTATCATACAACAACTATTTCAACTACCAATGGTTTACCCAACATATTTTGTAGATATAAAATACAAATAGATTTTAATTCATTTGAAGCATGTATAATATCTTTCATCCAACATAAACAACAAGTATTCAGATAATATGCACACATAGCACGCAATTTATATAAAATACTCCATATCTATGTGTAAGATGAAAGTAACTATGCACTCACCTGATAAGGTGGTGACGCCGTTCTCGGACAACACTTCGTTTACTTTAAAACAATTTCCTTCGACAAAACCTAGTACCATTACCACTAGAGTTTAGTCTAACGTTTTACCGAGACTAATTAATAGTCTATCTATTATTAT